GGTCTCCCTTCATTAAACGTATTCCATCAGGCCAAAGCAAGGAGACGTAATGCTGGTGGGTCAGCTTCTCAGTGCCTGGGATTAACCCGTGCTTTCCCTCATCTCTGACCACCAGCAGGCAGGAACCAACTGATTTTTTATTTGTGCCAAAAAAAAAGTAGAAGGCTTCCCAGCCTGAGGTCCTTCCACATGAGGTGCATGTTTTGTAGCCCTGTTTGATCCCACAGACCTCAGGAAGGACACGGAGCACCTGTTTCTGGGCCAGAAGGTGTCCCAAGTGTGATTTCTGATAATTCTTTCTTGGATGCTCTTCCTTCCCACTAAATAAGAATGGGAACCTGTAATCCATAAGCATGTTTATTCACTCATCATTTTGGAGAAAATCTTTTAGAAACAGCGATCAATTCATGTGTGTATTTGTCTCCTATAGTAATACGAATGGTCTCAGGCTCAACGGCTATTCAACATACACATTCGGGATGAGTGCATAAGTGAATGAAGACACCTTCTCGGGTCATCTTGTCGCAGTTGTCCCAGAGATAATGCCATAGAGGAAAATATTTTATGCTTATGATCCATTTTTTAAAATAGTGATTCTTTTTAAAATGACAAGACAATATCTGACATCAAAGAGCAAGGGAAATAAGAACACAGACACTCTGGAAATGTTATGCCCTCTACATAACAAAGTAAGCAGTCGATCTAGTAAATTCTGTCTTCTTTTATAAACTCAACTTATTCATAAATGAAATAATTGCCTGGAGGAAAAAAATTTCAATTGAAATTTTGTTTTCTCTCCCTCAAACATTAACTTTTAAACTGCATATGTGGGACATAAATTAGTGGAAGAAATTTCTGCAGAGAGATCCATATTTTAATACCCTATGACTCAGAATATGCAGTGGGAGAAAATAAACAGAAAGAACCACATCATTTCTATTGTCTTTGCCATCAAAGCCTGAACAACTGTGCATGGTGAATTGGCAATAACTCACTATCCAGTGGACCAGAGAAAGTAATGCCACAATGAGGGATCTTTCTGTTGATCCTTGTGGACAAATACATGAGCCTCTCATTCTTGAAACAGGACACAAAGTAATGAGATAAATTTTGTAAAACTATAAGACCACTAACAGTTCACCAATGACTTCTTTAGAAGAGATTAACCACAACTTTGCAGGAAAAAAATCTGTCCTGAATCTCTTCAGCCACCAATATATGTAATTAAATAAAACAGAAAAAAAGATTATGATGTAATCTACACTGCCCTTCCTCTCCCTCCTCCTTTCCTGTACCACTTTACTGTATACCCCCCACCTCCTTCTCCTCTAAGCAAGCAGATGCCAATTCTCTTAAAATCCATTTCACAACTTCCTTCAAAGAGAAGGAATCCCTCTTGCCTCTGCAATAAACATATTCATAAATAAATGCAATCCCTGGACACAATTGGCTTTTAGAACTATATTCTATATTCGCTTTCATTCATACCATTAGCCTGTTATAATCTTCCACTTTCTTCTCTGTGATTTCTCTCTCTCACTCTCTGATTGAAAGATCTACCTTTTGGGACGCCTGGGTGGCTCAGCGGTCGGGCATCTGCCTTCGACTCAGGGCAGATCCTGGAGACCCGGGATCGAGTCCTGCATAGGGCTCCCCATAGGGAGCCTGCTTCTCCCTCTGCCTGTGTGTGTGTCTCTCTCTCTGGGTCTCTCATGAATAAATAAATAAATAAAATCTTAAAAAAAAAGAAAGATCTACCTTTCTTCACAGGGTCATTCATTCCCTACTAATTTATCTGCAAAGATCAACTTACAATCTTATTTATTAGCACTTTTAAAAACATTTGCTGTGTGCCAAGTGATGGGGTTGGGAGGATGATAACTTTCCACTTCCCCCAGAGATGCCTCTTATTTGGTTTTCACACTCATTTTTCTAGGTAGATTCTATAATTATCTCCATTTTACTGATGAGAAAACTGAGGCTCAGATAGGGTAAGCATCTTGTCAGTGGTCCCTCCGCCCTTGGTGAAGCTGGGGTCTAAGCTCTAGTTCTTAATAGTACTACACTGCCTTTCATGGGTACTTTCTCCTTGAATTTAATTCAGCCAATGCCCTAAAAATATTACTTAAGAAGTAAAAGAGATCTAGCTATACCACTAGTATCAGATGATCTATTATTAGCGTCTGATGATCTAGTCAGTATTCCCTTTACTGATCTAATATTGATGGACAACTCATCAGCTACCTCTTATCACCAGTTACAGATTTGCTTTTTAACTGATAAGTTGCTAGAATAAAAGAAAAATCCATATGCTTTCCTAAGGTAGAAGGGCAAAAGACATACGAATTGAATAGCTAGATCAGAGGTCCTCTTAGAGAGAGAAGCACTTGGTTATCATTTATGCAAAGGAGAGGCTGCTGAGAACATGGGGATGATGCACACAGCAGGAAGTTAAGAGAGTTTGAGAAAGAAAGAGAGAAATTGCGACTTGCTTATAAGAGAAAATGGGGGATGCCTGGGTGGCTCAGCGGTTGAGCGCCTGCCTTCGGCTCTGGGCCTGATCTTGGAGACCCAGGATAGAGTCCTACATCAGGCTCCCTGTGTGGAGCCTGCTTCTCCCCCTGCCTGTGTCTCTGCCTCTCTCTGTGTGTGTGTGTGTGTCTCATGAATAAATAAATAAAAACTTTTTTAAAAAAGAGAGAAAATGGGATTGGGCCAGTAGGATGTGGGCAAGGAAAGACCATCATATTCAGAGACGCTGAGTTGTTAAGTGGGATGGGGAAGCCAGGACCATGTCCCCCCACACACCGTTTAAGTGTGCGGTCTGGTGTGTGACATCCTTTTTTGCCTTGTCCTTCAGGTCGTCAGCAGAAGTTTTGCTACTGTGATCATCCTGAGTTCATGGTTGCTTGGATGGCAGATGCATTGTAGGATGGGGCCAAGTAGAAGGGACTTTGTCCCCTCTTTCAGTGGACACCAGATTGGTGATAAAGGAATGGCCACAAGAACAGAGGAAATACTCTCAGTGAAAGTAGAAAAGAGCAGTGGTGATCACGAACTTCTAGTTCCTCAGAGAAATATTGGGGAGAGCCTTGGGGGTTTACCAGAGGGGAGAGACTTGGGGGTGTACCAGAATGGGGGTTTGAATCAACTTATCCTGATCTGAGAGGGCTGGCGAACCCTAGGGGACATGCCGATTACACTACAGAAATTCAACTATCTAACTTTTTTGGGTAAAGAACAACCTTGTTTGCTAGAGCCGGGGAACAGACAATGACATAGCCGCTTCTTAAAAGTAACTTTGAATGTATCAGCATGTGCAGTCAACTTATTTGCTGACTTAAAAACAGTCTGATGAACTTTTTTGCCTGTTAAACCTATTATTGCCCATAATGAAAGACTCTATATGCACTAATCACAACATGCAGCCTTCTGTTTGATCACAGTTTTTAAAACTTCATGATACAGGGGTTTTTAGTTTTACTCAACACATTTTCCTTCCAAAATCTGATTGGTTGCTCTAGATGCCGTGAATGATATAAATTGAGCTCTTAGTTGGAAGAAATCTAAAGGATCAAGCATCCCTGAGTTTCAGACAGAAACTTCCTCTGAATACGCATATTCAAAGGTATGTGGATTTTATTCATTTGGTATCCTTTCTGTTGTACTTATTTCTTTTTTTGCATTTCATGTACAAAAGCTGCAAATGTATTCTGCATTTCTAATACTTTATGCTGTCATCTTCGGTTACTTCCTCAGTCAGACCATAATTAGATTAGACTCTGATTACTTGGATGAATTATTTTACTCTCTAATGCAGCAAAGTCTTTGTATTTTTTAAAATTTTACTTCCAGAATCCCAAAGCACTCTTCAGGGCCAAATTTCATGGCAAAATATTTATTGTAATTACTTATCAATTAAGGAAAGAAACAATTTTTCCCCCACAGGCTGTCATCTACTACTTTAAAAGCCATTTTGTTTATTAATTACATCAAATAGAACCATCAGCTAAATGTGGGGTTTTTTTCACATTAATTCAAACTTAAGAAAAACAGATTTCGGAGGTAGAAAACATCGGTGCACTTTTTATAGCCAGCATCATTGCACATGGTGTTCACTCTCTACGCACAATTTAAGATCCTTCTTCTGACAGTTTTCATAGTCGACAATTTGTACCAAAAAGCAATGTGCATATTTTAGGATGGCCTGTTTTGCTCCGTGTCCCAAGGGTCATAAAGTGTATAATTATAGCACAGCCAAACAAAAAGGAAGATGTCATTGACTAAATATCGAATCTTCCAAGGAGAAGTCCCTCAAAATTCATGGGATAATCACAAAATATTCGCACTGTCCTCTCCTCTCCATTCAACCCATCTTTTGCTCCACATCTGGAACTCAGAGATGTTACCTGAGGGTCTTGCTTGAGGTCCTACCAATCGAAACACCTGGAACTTCACTCCACTCCTTCCTTACCCTATTTTGGTAGATTATCTCAATGTCTTTTCTCAGACAATTAGTCTTTGTTTTTAACAGTAGCAATGCTCGGGTGGATGGTGTAAACAAACCATTTTTGTGCCTCCTGGTTCTGAAAGTATCACATACTGTGCACCCTGAAGATCTCCGCAGCTTTTAGAGCCAACTCTGTCCTCGTGGTCATTAATTGTAAGCTACATCTAGCTTCTATGACCCCACAGGCTGCACAGGTATGGGAAAATAACACGTCAAATCATGTAACGAGAGTTTCACATCACTACAATTTGTTGAGCTCTCAACTAAATGAGAAGCATCCTTAGCACTATTGTGCTTCCAAAAGCAATGAAATGAGCTCAGAACTGGAAATCACGTGTGAAGGAAGTAAGCTCACAAAGAACGGTCCCATCCTTTTGGACTAGTGACAGACTAATATGGATTGTGTGGGTTTTATAGAGCATTAATTATGTCCATATCTGCAAAAAGATTTTTTTAAAAGTGTCAACTGCTATTTCAGGGCCATCGAGAAATGGGGACCTGGATTTTGTTTGCCTGCCTCCTGGGAGCAGCCTTTGCTATGCCCGTGAGTAAAATACCCCTGCATAATATTCAATTCCACAAGCTTGGAAATAAAAGTCTGCCCCACAGTTGGTAAACTTTAGGGTTTAAGACAGTACAAGATCAGATGTCCTCAAATGTCTCTGTGTTTAAGAAACACTTGGAAGAGCTTGTTATAAAAAAAAAATATTCCCAGATGCCTCCACCCAAGACTGATTCAGTAGAGCAGGAGTGGGGGGAGTGCCCAGGACTCTGCATTTTAACAAGCGCCTCAGGAGATTCTGTGGAGACAATTAGCTTGTAAATATCATCGCCCATCTCTAGATGGAGGAAACTTCTGGAAGGGACCCTTGAAAGGCCTCCAGAGAAAGTGCTCGAACAGCTTAGGCAAATACTACAAAAATGCCAATTTTCTCTAAAACCCAATTTCTCACGAGTGTCCAACTCTCTTCCTGCCCTCCAAACTCTACTGCTGTTACCGTCGGAGGGTAAGATCTCTGTGTTAGGAATTTCCTTCTTGAACCATCTCCTTGTTGTCAGAGGCCCCATCCCTTTGGGTGCACCTGTTAAGCACACGGGGGCTTCCGTGTGGTTGTCCAGAATCCTACCTATGCCCGATGCATGTGGATATTTCCTACATTCAAATGGGCCACGTACCAGGAAGTCCAACCCATCCTCTGTAGACACAGGTACACAAGGTCAGAGAGCTTAGATCACAGGCAGGCAAAGCAGGACCCATCTGCTTTTCGGTGGCATAGAGAGCAGTTGATACAACCAGAAGCCAGCAAAGCTTGCATATCTGCCTCCTCTCTTCCTCTCTCACCCACAAGACCAAGATTCTGTGCTGTGCCTTCCTGAAATCCTGCACTGTGGCAATTCCTAGTCTCCTGAGGGGCCCCTGTATTACAAATTGAGCCCTTTTCCCACTCTTCAACCGAATACCCCTACTCCCTGGGGACTTACATCAAGAAGGTATAGGAAAGGCAGTTACCCGACCAAAATAATTCCCATTCAGATGAGAGCAAATAAACCCTCTTATAAAATACAAGCATTTAAAAATAATAGAGCCTTAATTAGCTCCCTGTCTGAGGGAGAGGTTCCATACGAGCCTCCCTCCTCTCCCTCTCCCCCACTCCAGGGCCAACCCACAGTGCACAACGCAGGCATCGGTCACGTGGCCTCCTTTTGACAGGACAGACAGTCCTGGTGTAGATAATTATTTGGGCTGTTTTTTTTTATTTTGAACTTGAAATTTTGTCTGCCATAAAAACTTTGACAGAACAATAAGAAGAATCAGTTTAAATTTCAGAAATCAACTCTTTCACTTTCCATGGGATGTTTAGTGTTTCCACTCTACTGCACGCATCTCCTCACACTCATCAGGAATTCACAGGTGGTTGTTGCTTCTCATTGCCCTCAATGTGCTTTGCGTGCCAATTGTGAGGAATCTCTTGGATCCTTCAGGACTTACCACCCCCTGATCTATAAGGGAAGGTTTGTGAGACAGTTCTCTTCTTGTCGGTATTTCATAATCGTGTAAGACAAACCCATCTCTCTTTCCAACGTGGAGTGAGTTGCATTAAGACACAGGTTGGCAGATGGGAGAGAGTAGGATTATTTGACAACAAGGATGGGGGCGTGTCCAAAGATCACTGGAGGATAAATGTGTGCTGGTTTTTGCTTCCAGGTCTTAGGAATGTCATTCGGTTGTTCTGGACCTCTTTACAATAAGAGGGCTCCTCTTCTACACAGGGTACATGTCCAAACGAAAAGGAGACCTCAAATATATTCTGCACCCTATAGATTTTTTAAAAGTAGCTTCAAGCTCTCTCAATGTGAACAATTGCATATTGACTTAATCTCTTCCTCTCTCTCCCTCTCTCCCTCCCTCCCTCCCTCTCCCCCCTCCCCTCTCCCTCTTCTCTCCCTCTCCCTTTCTTTTTCTTCTCCTTTCCCCTCTATAAAAGCTACCACCTCATCCTGGGCACCCTGGTTATATCAACTTCAGCTATGAGGTAATTTTTCTCTTTACTAATTTTGACCATTGTTTGCGTTAACAATGCCCTGGGCTCTGTAAAGAATAGTGTGTTGATTCTTTATTCAAGATGTTTCTCAGTCCTGCTTTTTCAGTTCCCATTACCAGCTTCCTGGTTTAAGCCCTGATGGGTTGCCTCAAGCCTGCACTGCCCCAGCACACTCCTACTTGGCCTCTCTGACTCAGTTTCTCCTCCTTATATGGCTATAAGGCTATCCATCATGAACCACCACTCAGGGTGGGGCTGCATGGTAGGGCAGGAAGTGAACTCTGGCTGAACAGCTTTGTTCTATTCCAGCCTGTGAAAGGTAGGGGAGTCAGGTAAGATGTTAAAGATCCTTTCCAGCTAGAAACTCCTGATTCTAAGATGTGCACACTCTATGTGTCTCCTTTGTTCGTCTTTACTGAAAGATCAGTGATCAGTGACCAAGAAGTCTGTGAGACATTCTGCAGAGCAATGGAAAGCATGAGATTTCTGGAAATCAGGTTTGAGGCTCTCCTCAACCCCATACCAATCACGTGACCTTGGGCAAATCATTTTCTCTCTCTAAAACTTCGGTTTCCTCATCTGGAGAAGGGAAATAATTATAATACCCAGACTTCAAAACGTGGCTTGAGGAGCAAAATAGTTAAGCAACATAAAATGTGTTTTGTCAAGCATAATTTGAGCAAAGTTAGTAATTGTTTGTTGTACTGATACCAAATGCTATCCTGTAACATGAAAGAGCCCCCAGAACAGAGGTTAACCAAGTATATACTGTGTAGGGAGAGATGAAATTCTTATTTCCTTCATAGGTTCAGATGGCAATCTGTGAATCTGTTTACTCATACAAGCTGAGGAAAAGTGTTAATAACAATTTGAGCAAAGATCTTCTAATAGACCTTAAAAAGTTGACATATTTGACCAGAAAACCTGTGTTTCTAGGATGAGGGACAGATTTTCTGCCTTATTTTTCATTGTGATATCAGATCAAAAAAGGATATGACTAATGTTATATCACATTAATTTTTTTTGTTTTGTTCTGCTCTTGCAAAGAAGAGCAGGAACTGTGGAATTCAACAGAATTACTACTTCTGTGACCTCAGCCAAGCTCATGAACATCTTTAACTCCCCATGAGCTAGTCTGTAAAAGTGAGGGTGACGATACTTGCCTCACAGTATGTGGGAATACATGAACAATGTGTGTGGTGGACGTCATGTAGCGCCTAACACCCCAAGAAATACCTGCCAAATGTTTACCTTCCTCTTTGTTCTATAGAACTCGCACTTTTGGGCCATTAGTATATTTCTTAAAGATTTTATTTATTTATTCATGAGAGACACAGAGAGAGAGAGGCAGAGACACAGGCAGAGGGAGAGGCAGGCTCCCTGTGGGGAGCCCGATGCGGGACTCGATCCCAGGACCCCGGATCATGCCCTGAGCCGAAGGCAGACGCTCAACCACTGAGCCACCCAGGTGCCCCTTGGGCTATCAATATTGACAGGACTGCATCAGTGAGTCTAAATTTCATGCAACTAAACTAAAGCAAATGTATTCTAATGTCTCTTTTTCTTAAGGTGCTTACCCCTCTGAAGTGGTACCAGAACATGATAAGGCATCCGGTATGTAGATATTTTTTTCTTTATTCCCTTAAAATATTAGGCATGCATTTCGATTCCCTTTTAAATGAAATAACATATCTATCCCACATACAGACACTAATGGAAAATCTAGTCTGTAAAAGGTCATATCTGTGTACACAGTTAGAAATTCTTGCACAGGAAAAAAAATGAATAACTATTCATAGTAATAATGACAAAGAAAACATGACTACTTCTCCAGCTGGAAGTCAATGGAGCCGATGGTAAACCTGACTCTTTGTTTCTCACCAGTACCCTTCCTATGGTTACGAACCCATGGGTGGATGGCTGCACCACCAAATCATTCCCGTGCTGTCCCAGCAAAATCCCTCGAATCACGCCCTGCAGCCTCATCACCACATCCCCATGGTGCCAGCTCAGCAGCCCGTGGTCCCCCAGCAACCAATGATGCCAGTTCCTGGCCAACACTCCATGACTCCAACCCAACACCACCAGCCAAACCTCCCTCTGCCTGCCCAGCAGCCCTTCCAGCCCCAGCCCGTCCAGCCACAGCCTCACCAGCCCATCCAGCCCCAGCCACCCGTGCACCCCATCCAGCCCCTGCCGCCACAGCCACCTCTGCCTCCGATGTTCCCCATACAGCCCCTGCCCCCCATGCTTCCTGACCTGCCTCTGGAAGCTTGGCCAGCAACAGACAAGACCAAGCGGGAAGAAGTGGTGAGTATCCCTCAAAGCCACTACATACAACACCTGGGAAAATGGTAAAGCAAAATTGGTCTCCAGGGTTCTAAGTTCTCGAACAATCCAGGGTATAGGGTTTCAGTAGCTACACAGGTCAATGACTCTATTTGTCCAAGCATGTGTTGCAACTTTGTATTATAAATAAGTTTATCCATGAAGCTTAGTAATCAAGACCATAGTTTTTATGGTAGCTTTACATTCTATGATTATTTTAAATCTCTCCCCGAATATGTATTGCTGAAACCCATTAATTTTAAAGACAGCATAATGGAACATCAGTTCTCCTTATATTTCAAGAGTTGGACTAATAAGAATAGGCTAGAATTGCACTCAAGATTTTACAAAGGGTAATTCTTGAGAATGGGGAAGGATGCAAATATCCAAACAGGCTATGAAAGGTAGGTGGGAAATCTCTTCGAAGACCTCTTGAACTTCCTTAAAGGAAGATTACCTGTCTAGAGTGGATTTTAATCTAACTTGGAGGAAGCTAGACAGTTTATTAGATTCCTTTTCAGTGCTGGGTTTGTAGATTAAACTTTTAGCAAGAAGTTTTCACAATTAAGAACAAAATTAATTGCACTATAGTCAGTTCTTCCAAATGAGTGGGAAGTAGCCAATAAAATAAATGACTCATACGCATATCCATAAACCCTTATTCTGTGTATATGAGATGATGTAATTCTGCTGCATATGTAATTCCAACTTATAAAGGTTATTGATGATCTTCTACCGAGAAGCAGTGAGGGGGGAGGTAGGGGTGACCTGGATGGGGAGCTAGGATACCCAGGTTCCAGTTCTGGCTTTGCCTCCAAAGAGGAAACAGTATTGTACAAGTTACTTCAAACTTATGGGTGTTTTCCCTTGTTTAAAATAAGAGAAAGTGACTACCTCAGATAATTTCAAGCCTCCGTCCAAGTACAAATACCACAGTCTCCCACCAAGAAATTATATAGTGTGTGCCACATATGGCTCCACAATGATGAGCATATCTCTGGAGAATATGGGGCAGAATTTTTGAAGCTGTATCCCCAATAATTTGGTGCTTATTGTCAATCCTTCTAGTTTAAGGTAATGTTCCCTCGTATAGAAAATGCATTTATTTATCACTTCATTAATGATTCAGGCCATGAACTTTATAATGTGCCCGAGCTATTTATGGAAAGGTGACTTTGGGCAGGTAGTTTAAAGTCTTTTTAAAACTTCTGTGTAGAATCAGAGTATAAATATGGGTAGCTTCTTAGAGTTGTTTTACAGAAAATAAAATCAAGTGATGAGCTCAGGAAGCACTCAGGGAAGGGTAGCTATTGCTACTTGATGATTGCAAAAGAGTTGCAAGTGTCCTAAAGGCAGGGACATCCATTCTGGATATCTCCTCTCTAATGACAATGAGATAACAAAGAAACTTTGACAATTTATAGAGTTCGATTTAAATAGTTGTACATCATTCTGGCAAAATGGAAGCCACACATGTGACTGTAAATGACACTCACTAGGAATATTTGTCGATTATTTTAATTCTTCCTTTTGTTATTATTTTTAAGGATTAAGACATCAGAAAATGAGACGACTGAAGCAAATACTTCAGGTGCTTTCAGAATGACACAAGAACATGATGAGTTTTGCCTGCCATCACTTCACTTAGTAAATTCTGTAACTAAAACTCAGTACCATTAGCAAACAATAAAATGTTTTAAAAATCAGTCACGTCTTTGTGTTGCTTTAAGCTTAAAAGTTCATGTCTCTTCAGAGAACATATCAAAATGGCTATTCTTGGATAAGGTAGGGGGTGCTCATTCACACCTACAAAACTGACCATTCTGCAGGCAGATGAGGACTATTTTTCCTCTAAGAGAAAATTAACATCATCTCAAAACATTTAAAAAAACCAGAAGCTTATACAGTAGTTACAATAGTAGATACAGTGAAAAATTATGAACATGTATAGTCACTGAAACCGAATCAAAGGGAAGTTTGTATGAAGAATTCTTTAAATTGAAAAAAATAAACTTTTGAGAAGTGTTTATATTACAAAGCAAATTAAGACTTGGAACACAGGCTTTATACCTTGTACCGCATTAGTAACCAAAATCCAATCTTTTGATCTCATTCTACTGAAAAAGATTTTTAAATGAAATTATGTGATATATTCTGAATTTTAAATTATTGGAGTAATCAGTTTTCCTAAGAAAACTTTTATTATATAGAGCTTCAAGTAGAGAATCACAGTGATTTTGTATACAAGTCATTTCTTTCACTTAATAATTTTTAAGATGATAAATTGCACTGTATAGTCTTCAAAATGTTAACAGATGCATAAAATGGACTCAATACAAGTTTTCTTTCCCACTCATATTTATATTCTAATCCTTTTTTCCTCCTACACCCACACAGAATTGTAAACAATCTTTTTAAGGTTTACATTACACAGCACCCACAGTAACCTTATTCTAGTACCTTTATGATCAAGCCTCCTTAATCATTTTCTGGAATGAATAAACATAACTTTACTGGGAGGGTCTTGATATTTAAACAAATAACTTGATTTAAAAGAATTTAGATCCTATAAAAAAGTAAGAAAGCTTTTAATCAATTCTCATGAACCAATTCTAATCAGTTTGGTAAATATTTATTTATCACCCCTTAGGGTAAGGCACCATTCCACGGACTGGTAAAAACAGTAAGTTCCCATCCTTAAGGAATCTAGAGCCTACCAAAGGGATAGAATAAGCTCACAGATATTGATAAGAGAAGACCTCGCAGCATTAACACTCTGACAGAAGTATGGTCAAAATGCCCTGGCACATACAACAGACTTCCTTAGCTAGCTGCGCAATAGCTTTCCTCACCACTCATTCCTTGTTGGCAGAGCTGGAACTGTTCCCAGCATCTGGCCTTCCACAAACTCAGGGCACATGAGCCCCTTCCCATCCCAGGGAATGAATGTTCATTCCTCCGTGCCAGTTACAGCATCAATTACCATAATATAACCATAGCCATGCCAAATATGGCTTTGATTCCCTTTGCTGGTGACTGGTTTAGGGATGGGTTGTGATGGAACCTGAGCAATGAATGAGGCCCCAAGGAATGTCTGCTAGGAGAGGAGGAGCTTCTTGGGGTGGGGGGGGGTGGGGGGAGATTACTTTCTAATTAAAAATACACACACACACACACACACACACACACACACATGCTAGGAAAGAGTGTTGCTCTATCTTTGGATCTACTTGTTTGAGGATGTGATGCCTGGAGCTGTGTCTGCCATATTACGACCAGGAGGGACAAATGGAAAGAGGTAAAGCCCCTAAGTCTCTGGAGCCATCACTGTGTCCCTGAATTAACCAATCCAGGAACCATCTGCCTCTAGATGGATGACACTATTTCCGTGCTAGTGTTTTTCAACCGCGGGTCATGGATGATTAATGGGTCATGACATCAATATTAGGAGCCCCATGACTTTTATCATGCCAGTAAACTGTCTCTCCCAATAATGTAAGGCTTATTTGGCCAGAACTGAGAACTATTTTGTCAGTGACTTCCCTGAAAAAAAATCCAATCGATAGAGATATATATCCTGGTGTAGTCTCCAAAACATATGCCTCCCCACACACTGCCTTTCACGGTTCATGAAAATATTGCCATTACATTTATTTCTTCTGAGAAACATTTTAAGAGTGTAAGGGATGATGCTACTTGGAGACTATGTGTGATATTGGAAAAAACACAAACTTTGGAGTCAGACTGGAATTGCTCTCAATTTTTCTGATATAAGAGGATTCTCTATTTGGAAAAGTCACTGACAAAATAACTCCCCTTTTATAAGGATTCAAATTATACACATACATATACATATTCAAATCACATTTTGAATTACAGGGGAAAAGTCAGGTTTTGGACTCTGAAGACTATTCGCCATGGAGTGAGATGTACTGCATAAGTTAATTTTATGAGAAATGGAAACTTGCATATTCAATGGCTAAACATGTGTTTTAATATAATCATTTTCATGGTAGGCTATAATGGACAGTATTCCATTGCACTAAACAATGTATATCAACCACAACATAGCATCTCCTTGATGATCCAAAATGAGATTTATGAACACCTGACAGTGAGGTGTGCCGCCTTGGCATTTCAGAGATCATAAGGCTCTATTATGCCTGTTTTAAATTGCCCTCTCATTGTAACTCTTCCTTTCTGCTCTTGGCTATCACTTCTTTTTGTTAATGTATATTTGCATCTTGTAACATGTAGCTTATTTTGTTTTTTTTTAAATGTTTATTTATTTATGATAGTCACACAGAGAGAGAGAGGGAGAGGCAGAGACACAGGCAGAGGGAGAAGCAGGCTCCATGCACCGGGAGCCCGATGTGGGATTCGATCCCGGGTCTCCAGGATCGCGCCCTGGGCCAAAGGCAGGCGCCAAACCGCTGCACCACCCAGGGATCCCATGTAGCTTATTTTGGATACATATTCTCCCTAAAAAAATTAAGTGCACTGGCCTTGGGATTGTGACTTCCGAAGTTCCACAGTCACTTTGAGACTATCTGATTTTGTGACTCCCCAACTGTGGCAGATGGTCACAACTGACAAAATTCTGGCATGTAGACATGTGTGGCTATTGCCACATAGTATAACATAGCTGATGTAAATTGAATAAAACGGAACATTTCTTATTCATTAAAACTCAGGTGTAGTCAGCTGCCCAACATTGTATTTGAGTAAAATATGGAAGAAAATCGCTAGATGCTAACAACCAAGACTCAAAGCACAGGCTGAAATAAATAGCAATACTAATCATAAATGCACTAATAAACCCAAACTTATACTCAAAGAATTCTTAAATCAGGAAAAAAGCAAAAGTATATTATTTATGAAGCTGTACTATGTCTTTGAAGTTCAGCTAAAGAGACAAATGAAGTCGAGGAATTCAGTTCAAGGAAACTCCTTCTCACCATGACCACTCTCATGTCACTAATAAATTTGAAATCTGTTCTGCCCTTATTCACTTTCTGTTGGTTAGGACATCAACATGCATCCTCTTGGGGAGTGGGGTGCAAATACACGTCTAGAAATTACCGTAAGAGAGGCATCAAAATGCATGAAAAGATACACACAAAGATGTTGATCACAACATTATTTATATCATGAGAAATCTACATTTTCTTACATCTAGCTGAAGGAGTAATGTGATAAAAAGTATGCTTTAGGAGAAAATTTATTAGTAGAGAAAATGTGATAAACTAAAACTTAAGACCAAAACTACCTATCATACGTGACTATTACATCTGACCTTAACATGTAGCTAATTTGGACACATACACATATGTGTGCATTGGCAAAAACTAGGAAGGAGATGTAGCCGTTTGCACAAAGATCTAATTTTTCCCCACAAGAAACATAAACTACTTCTGTAATTCAGAATCAAATTAAATTATTTATTTAAAAGTTTGTCCTCCCTTTCTTCTGCTTTAATCCAGACACGGCTCCTTCCTTCAGCTCCCTCCCACGTGAGTTTTGGATCTTAGTGGGTTCCCTTCAGGTAAATTCTGAGTAGACACGACTTCACTTGTACTTGATTTTTCAGAGAAACATTCAGACCAAAGATGGGCTAAGGGAAAGGAGCTACTGGCTTTAGCAGGAACAATAAGATCAAACAACAAAAAAGAGATGAGCATCATGGGATGAAGAAAGAAGAATTAGAAATGGCACAAATAAAATAAAAATAGAGAAATGACCATCAAAGCAGCTCCTGCTGAACTTCTGCCAAAGGTTAACTGGGTCCAGAGAGCAGGCGGGTCAGAGGTCAAACATCATCTAAGCACTAAACCCTTAAAGAGCTGGGTGCCTGCGGCTTTCACATTGAGTGGGTTCTCTTTTTGACTCAAATAATACCTGAACTATTCTGACTTGAAACTCATCAATGATCTAACTTCACTTTGGGGCCTCAACTGGCTATAATGCAGTTTTTTCTTCTGATGTTTAATGACATCAGGTCTGAATTATCTGAAGAGCTCGACCTGGATCAGTAACAACTCCAATTAATCAGAAAATGCTCACAGCTCACACATTAGAAAGGGCAAAGGAAAATGCAACCTAACAAGCTGGTTTTCAGGCTGTACTTCCAGAGCCACCTGCCCTGAGAGCATGCAATCACCTCTCCTGAGGGCCTGCACTGAAGACAGAAGTTCAAAGGATCACCCAGAAGTCATCTGCACTTTGACGGAGACCAGTGGACAGCTGCCGCATTTTCCAAAGCAAAATTCAGATATGCAGGATGATAATACAACAGAATATTTGAAATCAGAGACTTATACTAACTGGAACTTATACTCTATACCTGCACTGTTCAGTATGTATCCCCACGTGGCTATTCAAATTTAAAAGAACTAAAATTAAATAAAATTTAAACTTCAGTGAATCAGTCACACTAGATACATGGTAAGTGCGAAAAGCCCACGTGGGACAAGTGGCTACCATATGGGATGGCACGGACACAGAACAGTTCCATCACCCCCAAGACTTTTATTAGACGCTACTACCCTATACAGCACTTCCTGAGGCGGAAGAACAAGTCCTGTTAATTCAAAGATTTTAAACAAAAGATGAAGCAAAACAGA